TTCCCAGTTCCTGGCTTCTGCATGGCCCAGTCCTGACTGTTGTAGATGAGAATTCTTTCTCTCCCTTCTCTCTGCTTCTCAAATAAATAAATAAATAAAGATGCATAAACATTAGAAAATAATAAAATAGCTGATGTTTATTAAGTCTTAAATGTAGTACATTTTGACTGTATTTCCTTGACTCTTACAACAACCCTACAACTGGTGACACTGTAATCATTTTATTTGAAAGGCAGAGTTACAGAGAGGCAGAGGCAGAGAGAGAGAGGGAGGCAGAGAGAGAGAGAGAGAGAGAGGGAGGGAGGGAGGGAGGAGGGGAGAGAGAGAGAGAGAGAGAGGTCTTCCATCCACTGGTTCACTCCCCAAATGGTCACAATGGCTGGAGCTGCACCATTCCCGAGCCAGGAGCCAAAAGCTTCTTCCAGGTCTCCCACATGGGTGCAGGGGCCCAACCACTTGGGCCATCTTCCACTGCTTTCCCTGGCCATAGGAGAGAGCTGGATTGCAAGTGGAGCAGCCAAGACTCAAACCGGCACCAGTATAGGATGCCAACACTATAGGAGGCGGCTTTACCTGCTACACCACAGTGCCAGCCCTAACTGTAATCATTTTGAAAATGAGAAAGCTTAGCACAGAAGGTTTAAGTAATGTAGATACAGATAGAGTTGGATTTCTCACACAAGAAGAAACACAAGCTCCCACAGATCTTAATAAGACTATATACTGATTTCTAGTAATAAAGCTTTTGCTATAATAAAATAGATATTAATTCAAACATTGGTCTGCAAGATTAACAGGGTGAGAATAGCAAAAATTCCATTAAGTTGCAAGGAAACTAGAGTGTCTTTATCTTAGTATTAATATATTAAATACTTTGAATAACTTTCTTTGAAGAAAGAAAAATTCATAAGATCACTGAAAAGTAATCTCAGATCCTATGGAGGTATACACACAAACACAAAGGCTTTTTACCATGAAATCTACACATTATTAAATATATATGGCTATAAGATATGTTATCTATCTATCTATCTATCTATGCAACACACACATGTATCAGAAAAAGAAACTTATAGTTTCCTTATTGAACTGAAACCTTCTTATCAATGTATGATTGTCCCTGGTTTCCAGTAATAAATGAAAACCTCAAAAGATCAAGTCTGTTGACATGAGAGCTATTTAATCTTATTAGATAAATAAGGACATTTGTACTGCATATTTGCATAGCACTAACACATGTTTTTGTAATATTTCTTTTTGTTAAGGATAATGAAATATCCTGTGACATGGAACAATCTACTAATATAATTCTAAACCAGTTATTTTCATTATTTGAAATGGAAAACCTTCATTAAAGAGAACTATAATTTTCCATTTAAATTATACACCATATTTTTAGAAAGATTCATCCTAAAATAATTAACCTATAATGACCTCAGTATGTATATTTATCTGTGCAGATTTCCATAAAATAAAAGCTAGAACTACAGGCAGTGACTATTCTTTTAAAAACACTGGAGGATGTGTTTAGCCTTGTGTCCCACATCACAGTACCATGATTTGATTCTTGGTACCAGCTCCTGACTCCAGCTTCTTACTAATGTGCACACTGGGCAGGAGTGGTGATGGTTCAAGTAATGGATTCCAGCCATCCACACGGCAGGTCCATAGCCACAAGCTATTGAAGTATTTTGGGAAGTGAATCAGTGCATGCAATTTCTCTGTCTCTCTCCATTTCTCTTTGTAGTTTTCCTCTGTCAGTCAAATAAATATATTTTTATAAGAAAAGAAGGGCCTATGAGAGATCATTTTAAAAAACAGAGAACCCTGAAGCTAGTCCTCTACTGTCATTGGTGCCTTCATTCCCCAATGCAAGAACTTATGCCTACATAGGAAATAATATTAAAAAACTAAAACTTCCAATTGGGTTAATTTACTAAGTCACATTTATTAAAAATGTCATCTGGTTTAGTTTCTCTATGAGAAATCTGCAAACTGTCACCCATCCTTGGTCCCAGGTATGTAGAGATTTGCAGAACATTTTCTTAATCACACCATTAATCTGTGTATATGTCATGGGAGCCCACATTCCAGGCCTATGGATATCGTCAACACTATTATTAAGGTACTCTACCTTCCCTAACTCCTATATGTGCATATGTTGGCTAAAAAGTGTTTCATGAAATTAAATTCCAGAAATTGAGCATATTCTTGGTGTTTTCAAAGTATGTCACATGTTTTCAATCATTGAGATTTTAACCAGGAATTCAGGTAAAAAGAGAATGAGCTATGACATCCAAGATTTATAATTCTGCTTGCTGTTAATAGAAAACAGATCAATTGGACACTATGAGAAACAGTGACTTGATCAGCCCTTGTCCTGACTGTTGGTGTACAATGTAATATTTTATCCATTTTAGTATTTTTTTTGTTCTAGTACTATTGGTTGAATTTTTTTTTTTGACAGGCAGAGTGGATAGTGAGAGAGAGAGACAGAGAGAAAGGTCTTCCTTTTGCCGTTGGTTCACCCTCCAATGGCCGCCACGGCCGGCACGCTGTGGCTAGCATACCGCGCTGATCCAAAGGCAGGAGCCAGTTGCTTCTCCTGGTCTCCCATGGGGTGCAGGGCCCAAGCACTTAGGCCATCCTCCACTGCACTCCCGAGCCATAGCAGAGAGCTGGCCTGGAAGAGGGGCTACCGGGACAGAATCCAGCGCCCCGACCGGGATTAGAACCTCCGCTAGGAAGAGGATTGCCTAGTGAGCCACGGCACCGGCCAATTGGTTGAATTCTGTAATTAACACACAATTATTCTTAAGTGTTTAAATTTAACTGAAAAGTGATCCCTGTTAAATATAAGAGTGAGAATAAGAGAGGCAGGAGATGTACAATTTGGGACATGCTCAATTGGACTTGCCCCAAATGGTGGAGTTAGAAATGTGCCAGGGGATTCCAATACAATCCTATCAAGGTTGCATGTACCAATGCCATCTCACTAGTCCAAGTGATCAATTTCAGTTCACAATTGATCACACTGATAGGTCTAAGAGCCAAAGGGATCACACAAACAAGACTAATGTCTGCTAATACTAACTGATAGAATATAAAAGGGAGAGAACGATCCAACATGGGAAACAGGATACACAGCAGACTCATAGAATGGCACATGTCCTAAACAGCACTCTGGCCTCAGAATCAGCCCTTAAGGCATTCAGATCTGGCTGAAGAGCCCATGAAAGTATTTTAGGCATGGAAAGCCAAGACACTCTGTCAAAAAACAAACAAACAAACAAACAAACACCTAAATGAAAGATCTCTGTGAGTGAGATCCCAGTGGAAAGAACGGGCCATCAAAGAAGGAGGTACCTTTCTCTGAAGGGAGGAGAGAACTTCCACTTTGATTATGACCCTGTCGGAATTAGATCAAAGTCGGCAAACTCAAAAGGCTTCCATAGCCTTGGCAACTCATGACTAGAGCCTAGGGACATTACTGATGCCATAAACAAGAGTGTCAAATTGTTAAGTCAACAACAGGAGTCACTGTGTACTTACTCCTCATGTGGGATCTGTCCTTAATGTGTTGTCGAATGTGAAGTAATGTTATAACTAGTACTGAAACAGTATTTTACACTTTATGTTTTGTGTGGGTGCAAACTGATGACATCTTTACTTAATATATACTGAATTGATCTTCTGTATATAAAGATAATTGAAAATGAATCGATGTGAATGGAATGGGAGAGGGAGTGGGAGATGGGAGGGGTGCGAGTGGGAGGGAAGTTACGGTGGAGGAAAGCCATTGTAATCCATAAACTATACTTTGGAAATTTATATTTACTAAATAAAAGTTAAAAAAAAAACAGATCAATGGATAGATGTCTTAGTCTGTTTTGTGCTTCTATAATAGAATGCCTGAGATGGAATAATTTTATTTCTCACAGTTCTTGAGTCTGGAAAACTTAAGATCAAGGAACAGCCAGCTTTGGTGTCGGGTTTCAGGACGGTGCCTTGTTATTGGCAGAAAGCAGAAGCCCAGAGAATCCACTCCAGTAAAAACAAAACAAAACAAAACAGCATTTATTTATTCATGATGGGGAGCCATCATGACGTACACACTCCCCATTAGGCAATACCTCTAACATGGCTGCACTGGAGATTAAGGTTCCAATACATGAATTTTGGGAATACATTTAAACTATAGCAACACGTATCAATTTTCATAGGACAAAAGGCAGCAGGTAATCTCTACATAACAAAAACTGCCAGTTGAGTATGATCAATGAGTTTTGGTTTTGTGGCGTGAGTACGGTTAATCAGATTGATAGAGTTCAGACATGACATTTCTCATTTCCTAATAGAGTATGCTGCAAAACAGATTTATAACTTCTGAGACTTGAGGTATATATGACATTATTTCTATGAAATATTTGTGTTACCATAGATCACAGCTTTAAATTTGAATATCTTTTACACAACTATTACTATTTTCCACCTCATCTCAAATGTTTACTGTTATAGACTTTAACTGATTCTTAATCTCTTTTAAAGCACCATGAGCACTAAGCCATTTACCATGTTATATATCATATTTTATTTTCTGAATTTTTCTAAAGACTACCAAGGCAGTTTGAAAAATAGATTGCATTCACTTTCAAATAGTACATGATAGAAGTTATAATGCAGTAATTATTCATACTGTTATTATCATAAAGGAAGTACCACTAAAATAAATTAATAGGCACATTTCTATGTTTCTATTACAAACATTTCATATTTTAGTCTACACTTCACTTTATTGGAGCTTCTGGTTTTAAAACATGCTTACTGATTAATGCACTGATTTTATATCCTTATTAACTCCTCTTTCTATAATACAGAGAAATGCAATCTTGAATCTCAGACATAGAGTCAAATCCAACATGGCACAGATGTAACTGGGAATATGCTACTGACAGTGATTCTGCATGCTTACTGAGTTATTTCACTTTATTTTGCTGAAGCTAAGAAGAAACATTGCATCACAGCTGTACTTCTTGACCAGAAATGTGAGGATGACAGTAAACAGTTTCAAACTAGCCTCAAAAAAGGTATTTACCTCATACCATAAAAGTCCTAATCAATACTGAAAGCTTAATTGACAGTTGTTATAAGATATTCACACTATTTGTATTTATGAGTCTCATTTCACAAATATTTTAGTTATTTTCCTAAGTAACTAATTAATGATTATATTGAATTCCTTATCTTGTACTAAGAATACAAACCCATTTTAATTTATAATATTGTTTATCTGGGCTAAGCAATATTTAAAAAAAGCCTTATTCAACTGTATTGATATATTGTAATATTTGTTAAGTAAATACTTTTGAAAGGGAGAAAATTCTTTCCATAAGATAGCATAAGCAGAAGAGATCTGTTTATTCTAGATATTATATGGCATTGTAGATTTGCCTTCATTTTTTCTAAAGATTTATTTTATTTATTTGAAAGAGTTACAGAGAACGGTACAGAGAGAGAGAGAGAGGTCTTCTCTCTGCTGGTTCACTCCCCAAATGGCCAAAACATCTGGAGCTGGGCCAATCCAAATCCAGGAGCCAGGAGCCAGGAGCAAGGAACCACTTCCTAGTCTCCAACGTGTTGCAGGGGGCCCAAGGACTTAGGCTATTTTCCTCTGCTCTCCCAGGTGCATTTGTAGGGATCAGAAGTGGAGCACCTGGGACAAACACCAACGCCCATATGGGATGCCAGTGCTGCAGTCCTGGGTTTTTACCCACTGTGCCACAGCACTGGCCCCTATCTTCACTTTAAAAAGTTAGAGTACATAAGAATAAACCAGAAAGTGCCCATAATCTTCTCCCCTATATAACTACTGTTGAAACATGAGTGAGAAATTCTACAGTTTTACTCGCTATTTCACTTTTTAAGAACATACATAAAACTAAATTGTTATTCTAATTTTTCACTAAAGTTATAATATTAATTCTATGGATGTTTCTGTAAATGCTAAAATTATACAAAAATCTGTAAATGAGCTATTAATTTTTCAATGGTTATATCACCTCAAACTTGTATTACAGATGATTTTTCATTCACTTATCATAGATAAATTACATTACTCAAGTGCTTTCTACTATATATCAATACCACAATTGGTCAAGCAGGAAACTGAATTCTACCCACTACTTAATTAATTAGTTAATTAGTTAGTTAATTTTGAACAAGAGGCCTCATATGAGCAAATTCGGGAATGTCACTAAAAGAATTTTAATGGTAGCAAAAGGGATGATATCAATTAAATTAGGTAGCTACTGAGATTCCTTTTTTCCCAGCCTATTCTAACTTTTAAATCAGTGTTGCCTAATAGATTGAAACAAAATTAATTTTAATTTACATAATAAATTATGGTTATTAATTTTGTGTCAACCTGGCTAGATTACAATGCCCAAATATGTGGTCAAACATGATTCTGACTATTTCTGTGAAGGTGTTTTTAAGATGAGATTAACATTTAAATGGATGAGTTTTGGGTAAAGCAGATTAGCCTCTATAATGAGGGTTATCCCATTGGTTGAAGGCCTTAATGGAATAAAGTATGACTTTCCATGAGGACCAACGAATTCTGCTTGCAGACTGCTTTTATACTTTTCTGTGGGCCTCCAACCTGCTGTCCTATGCTGCAGATTTTGTATGTGTTGCTCTGCAGTTGTGCCAGTACATTTCTTAAAATCTTTCTCTCTCCTAGTCTCCTCTCAACATATTTAGATACATAGTTAAATACAGACAGAGTTAGAGGTAACCATAAAAATATACATCTTTTATATCTAAATATGTATTTTAAGAGAGACAAAATAGGATACTATATATGTATATAAGAATATGCAAATATATAATCTTTCTATTTATATATATCTATGTATGATGGTGTCGCTCCCCCTCTTCATGGAGGACCGACACAGGACCCTGCGCTGTTCTTTCGTCTGCTCTGCCCTCCCCGGGTTTGCTGCTGGTTCTTCCTGGGTTGGCTACCGTCCCCTCCACCTCCGTGGAAGGGCGGTTCCCCCTGCCACATTCCCCGCTTCCGCAGGGGAGCGGCACACCGCTGGCCGGCTCTCTTGGGGGCTGCACAGGTGTTCCCTTAGATGTTCCCCTTAGATGTTCCCCTTAGATGTTCCTGGTGCATGTTCTCTCTCTCCTCCTTTATAGTCCTTCTCCGCCAATCCCAACTCGGCTGCCCACACGCTGAGTACGCTGCTCTCCTCCAATCAGGAGCAGGTCCTGCTGTTTATTGGCTGAACTGGAGGCAGCTGTGTAGAAGCTGTTTTCTTCTCTCCCAGCGCCATATTGTGGGAGAGCAGATGCATAGAATAAGTCTTAATTCCAGTAACTTAGTCTAGTCCGAGTTGCTCCCCACAGATGGTATCTCAAAAGATTGTGGAAAAATGGAGTTAAAGACAAGTGTTATGCTACTTTGGAAAAATTTCTGGAATCTATGCATTATTCTTTTTATACTGTATATTCCATGAGTTTTTTGACATATAATCATATATAATTATACACATGAATATATATGTACAAGCACATATATACTTTATGTTGGTTTCGATTTATTTCTCTGAAAAATCCTGAATACTGACATAACTTGTAAATATAATTAGCTAGGAAAGAAGTTTAGTTTCACATTATGAATTTGATTTGAGTTACACACTTTAAAAAGTAGAGATTAATTTGTATGTAGATGAAATACACTTTTATGATAGCATGACTCCATAACTAACATAAGATGCTGAATGAATAAATGAAAGTTGTATTTATGAGTCTCATTTCACATGTATTTTAGTTACGTTCCTAAGTAACTAATGAATGATTATATTGAATTCCTTATCTTGTACTAGGAATACAAACCCATTTCAATTTTTAATATTGTTTATATTCTCTTTTATATTACTTCAATTTGAGTTCTCCTTACACCACAATTTGATATCCACTTTTATCATACATAAAATAATTTTCCCTCCAAAGTTATCAATGAGAATTTTTTTCGTTGTTTGACTTCACAATTTAAATTAATAATTGATTATTTATTCTGCTAACCAGTAAAGTTAGGATAGACCAATCTATTTTCCCTCTCTAACCCTCTGGCTGGTGTTTTACTACCTTGTGTTTCCTTTTCTCATAAGTAGACTCAGTTGCTATACACTGATCTTTATTTTGGATTTCTCAACTTTTCAGTTTCCATTCTTACTCTGGTACCTCAACCAGTTTAATGACTTCTTCCACCATGCACAATCAAATCCCTCATTTTATCCCTTTTTATGGGAGCTCTCTGTGGAGTTTTGTTGCCCAATTGCTTGCATAATATCTATATCTGGTATATTTCAAGCATATATGAAGGTACTTAAACAATTCATGGAAAATGGAATTAACAGGTGTTTATTTTGGAGCAAAAAATTATTGGAATCTATGTATTTTTTCATAAGACATATTTTCTAAGAATTTTTCAAAGATCCCTCCTACTACTTAGAATGTCCACAGCTTGTCATTAACTCCAATTTATCAAACACATTCTTCTTTCAGAAATCTCCTTGAAGCACACCAGCATCTGGTTGTTCAAATCAATGACCTGTAAGCTATATTTGACTCTTCCTCTCTTCTTTGTCCATTCAAATAAATTACGATATTTAACACTTTGTTGCCTTTCATGTCTTCTGCCAGCACTCAGGACTCTATTCTTGTCAGCGCCTGAAATATTATCTCTTTGTATATGAGGGTATTTTAAAAAGTTTATGGAAAATGCATATTATAATAAAACCATGCCTAGTGTCAGATATTTTTGCATCCAATCTTTTAATTCTATTTTCTATGAATTTTAGACCATTTTATAGAATAAATCTAGGGGCAAGTATTTACTATAGAGGTTAAAACAGAGCTTGACATCTGGACCCCATATCAGAGTATCCAGATTCTCTCTTTTTTTTTTTTTTTTTAAGATTTATTTATTTATTTGAAAGGCAGAGATACAAAGAGGGAAGGGGATGGAGGGAGTGAGACAGGGAGAACCCAGGAGCAGAAGCTTCTTCCTGGTGTCCCACACAGGTGCAGGGACCCAAGTACTTGGGCCATCTTCTCTTGCCTTCCCAGGCACATTAGAGGGAGCTAGATTGGAATAGAGCAGCTGGGACTCAAAATGGAGTCTACAGGGGATACTGGCACTACAGGGGAAGGCTTAAGCTTCTACATCACTGTGCTGCCTACCCCTCACTCCCCGATTCTTTACATGACTTTGACTCCAACTGCTGACTCCAGCTTCCTCCTAATGCAGACACTAGAAGGCAGTAATGTTAGCTCAGGTAATTGAGACTCTGCAACCTTCTTTGTAGACCTTGATTGACTCCTTCACTCTTAGCATTTGATCAGCCTTGCCCCAGCTCTTTGAATATTTGGGGACTGAAGCAGGAGAGGGAAATCTCCCTCATATACATCCACATACATAACATATATAATTATATAATTTGAGAGACAACTATAAGATGATCATGGTTTAAGATATAGCAAATCATATTTTCAATAATGTATTCTGTTTTACATTGACAATCATACCTGTATACATTAACAGTGCATGCCAACCATTGCATTCATCAAATCAAACATTTGACATTCTGTGATAAGAACTTTTGAGATCCACCCTCCCTAAAATGTACAGCACTCAACTGTCACTGATATTCACCACACTGCATAAAATCCCAGAAAGATCAAAATTTTCTTCCTATCTAATTGAGGCTGTGTACCTTTTGATCATTATCTTCTCATTCTTCCCACCTTATTAATTCTTCATTAATAATGTATTTAATCATTCATTGATGTTTTCCCTATGAAAGAGAATCCCTTAAAATAAGAGGATGAATTGTATCTTCTATATTGCTGAATTCCTACTAGATTGAATAGTGATTGCCTTCTAGGCTGTAAGCACTCAACAATTATTTCAAGTTAATTAATTTTATTTAAAAACATTCATTGAAATAACAGATTTTCATGTCATAAGCAGATTTCCTTAGAAAAGCAATCATATTTTCTTCTAGAAAAAAGTTATTCAAAATGTATACAAATCCTGTTATTATTTTCCACTGGACTGAGATCAAATTGACCATCATTTCTTCTACATTAGGCTGATTATGTAATGAGAATTGGGAAGACAATTTATTGAAAAACATCTAACCTGTAAGTCATACTAAACTAAATTAAATACATTCTTAAAGTAATAAATTACCATCTGTTCACTTTTTCTAAGGGATAAACTGTTTGAAATTAAGTCAGTTTCAAAGGGAAAGATGATGTGATGCTGAAGAGTTACAGAATGTGAATTAGGCAGTTTACATTCTATTCCTTATCAAAAGAATACATAAATATGGATATATTAGTGTTTAACTCTCTATATTCTGTTTCCCATAAATTTTATTTTAAATATTTTCAGTACCAAAGCCCAGAAAAATAAATCAATCAGCACAGGATAATTTAATGGTTTAGAAAATATTTTGATTAAATGACATTATAAATCATCAAAACTATTTAAATTTTTTCTATATTTCTGTAATTTCTATATAGGTATTTTATTTATTTATTTATTGACAGGCAGAGTTAGATAGTGAGAGAGAGAGAGACAGAGAGAAAGGTCTTCCTTTTTCCATTGGTTCACCTCCCAAGTGGCCGCTATGGACGGCGCCTTGCGGCCAGTGCGCTGTGCTGATCCGAAGCCAGGAGGCAGGTGTTTCCTCCTGGTCTCCCATGGGGTGCAGGGCCCAAGGACCTGGGCCATCCTCCACTGCACTCCCTGGCCACAGCAGAGAGCTGGACTGGAAGAGGAGCAACCGGGACAGAATCCGGTGACGTGACTGGAACTAGAACCCTGGGTGCCGGCGCCGCAGGTGGAGGATTAGCCTATTGAGCCGCGGTGCCGGCCTCTATATAGGTTTGATTATTATCTGTGAATAAAATATAAGTACATAAATGAAAGGTAATAATTTTGCCTAGGTATGAAAATATAAAATTGATAATATTTTCTGGATCATTTCAAACCTTCACTTGTTTTTCTCACCTTTCATGTCTTAGCTCAAATTAAGATATATCAAAAATTCTTTTTTAATAACATTGTCATATAAATAAACTTTTTATTCTACCTGTTGAAATCTATTTTACCCTTCCCATAAAATATCAGGGACTTTAAAAAATTCCTTTATACTCTTTAGGAACAGCCAGAATTAGCCAAGCTACGATAACATCCCTTGCTTTCCTCATTCCTCTATAATAGTTGAGGAACTAGTGATACTGCTATTCTTGCCTTTTCTGGCACCTCATCTCAGGAGAATATTAATGTGTGTTATGTAACCATATTGTCAGATGGCACAATTATTTTGGTGTCATTTTTTCTTTTGCCCACCTGATTATATGAACTTTCCTATCCCATGGACTAGAAAATTTAACTCAGATTCTCAACACTGATATATTCTGAAGCTACTTCTAGTACCAAATGCCAAAAAAGTTATGAATTAGTGTAGAAGAAATAAAACAATATGAGTTTTATAACAAAATACAGTTTATTCATCAATGAAAGTGCATGCTTACCCATGTGTTGAATGGCTGGAGGAATGGTTTCTAGGTTAAGAATCCAGAAATCTCTCCACAAACTGGCATGGTTGCTGCCCCCTCTCTAACCTGTCCTGGATTTAATGTGAACAAAGCTATGACCATGCCACTGCTGAGTTGCCTCATTTCTTAATACCCATTAACATGTGAATTGAGTCCTTCTAATATGTCACTATAGCAGGCTTGAAAACACAAAACAAGGGAATAAACAATGGTCCATGGAGTGTGACCCACTCCACATCAACTGCTTCTGGATACGAGGAAATATGGAGAGTATGTAACATAATTTTGCTGAAGGAAAGCCTCACTCACACCCTGGGAGGCAGTATATTTTGATTTTGGCTCATCCACTTGCACCCCGTCACCTACCTGGGAGCCTTGTATGGGTTTCCTGCTCCTGGCTATTGTGAGCATTTGGGGAATGAACCAGCAGATGAAGGAGCTCTCCTCTCCCAGGCTATGTTTCTCTCTCTTTCTCTTTGTCTCTCTCTTTCAAACAAATAAAGATTTTCAAAGAAAATATAATACTTAATAACAAAAATTCTAAAGTATATAGAGACCAACTTAAAAAATGTTTCATTAAATAGTTTTGGGAAAAAGCATTACCTAACCGATTTATATAATTGGAATAATGTATCGCGTTAGTAGACATCAAAACTTATCATGAAGAGGGGGATTCTCTACTTACACATTTTAAAATAAAAAATATTAATAAAAATTGTTATCAAACATTAATTTTGTGTATACTCTGAAAAAAATCATTCCAGACTGATATAACATTATACAAATCCAAGAACATCTAAGCAGTATTTTACAAAGAAGAACAAGGAGGAATAATTACCACAGCACTTTTAAGGTAAAAAAATAGTAATAAAAACTTTGTAAAAAATAGTATAAAAAAACAGGAAAAATAGGGATATGTATATTTTTATACCGCAGAAATGACATTATTTTCTAATTTCAAAAACAAAATACAGAAAACTAAGAATGATTATAATTCAGTGTTGAAAATAACAGAATTAGATATTTATTTCATATCATATACAAAAGTTAACTATACTTAAATTGAAATCTAAAAGAATAATTTTGGTAATTCCATTTTATTTATCATAATTGATTCATTAAATAATATTTCAAAGATTTAATATCCAGGATGTTTAGGAACTCTAAAAATTCAATTCAAAAACAATACAATGCACAGTCAAATTAAGAAATGGGCAAAGGATCTGAAAAGACATTTCTCCAAAGAAGAAAAACAAATGGACAACAAATTTATGAAAAAAAAGTCATCACTAGACATCAGGAAAGTGCTAATCAAATCACAAGTAATCATCTTACTCAAATGAGAATTAATATTACCAAAAACATAAAAAATAACAAATCCAACATATATGTGGAAAAAGGAAATTCTTATCTGTTTTGGTATTAGTGCAAATTACTATAGCCATTATAGGAAACAGTATGGAAATATTTAAAAATTTAAAATTGATCTATCATATGACCCTCTGGAAATATAGTTGAAGGAATGAATTCAAGGTATGAAAGAAATATATGCAATTCTATGTTATTATAGAGATATTCACAATAATTAATAGGTGTCCAAGATGGACAAATAAAGACAGACCAAGTACATATATACATACTAGAATATTTTTCAGCCATATAAATGAATGA